GAGAGAGAGAAAGAGAGAGAGAAAGAGAGAAGCAAAAAAAAAAGAAGCTAGATTCCAGTGTGGTAACAGGTCATCATACCTGGACTCCTGCCAGCAGTAAAGACGACAAACTTGAAGCTTACTAAATTACCAAAATGCTATTCTGAAAGATAAGACTGAAGTATACTTGATGAAGCTAGTGATAATCCTGGGCAAAGGGAAAAGAGTTAGCTGTCCTTTTGCATTGTGGAACAAAAGGAGTAGGTGCATTACTAGTCAACTTTAAAGTTTTCAGTAATTCAGAAGAATAAAAACACCTAAGTTCCAAACTACAGGTGTTTCGTTCAAAAGAACAAAGTAAAAAAATAAATAAGTCAGCTTTTAATTGCAATGCAAATCTGTATTTTACAAAATTAATGGCTATTTACTCTGCATAAATGAGCAACTGCTTTAAAAAGTTAGCTGAGAGGCCTGAGCTCTTTCAAACATCTCAAAAGCTTGTTTTCCAGTACTTGGCAGTGACAGAGCAAGACAAATAGGACACAAGCAAAACCTGCAGAATAGTTAGTCCCATGCATTCTAGAATAGATGACTCTTTGGTCTTGCTTTCTGGGTAAGATTACATTTCAGTTAATAAAATTGACACTTCTGGGGAAAAAAAAAAAAAAAAATCAATTCCATAGATTAAATAGGAATATGCAAAACACGGTCCACATGACAGCCATAGCTATCATCTCATAATGAAGTGGCTGAGATGCAATGTCCTAAAGCTAAGAACAGGAACAGGGAACGCAGAAGCCACTAGTACCCAGTATTAGCATGCACAGCGGAGTCAGCATGACTCAGTGTAGCATCCCTGCCGTGAGAGGGCTGATTTTCATTAAGCTGCCACACAAGTGAAGATCTCTTAAGCTTACACCACAGTGGGTTTACAACTATGTGAGTTAAGTCACATTTACTGGCCTAATTCCTTGTCTTCACAGGACAGGAGTGAACATTGCCTACATTTAGTGCAGTCCCCTTCAGATCACCAGCTGCTAGGGCTGCCTGGAACAACAGGCTTAATTCACCACAGACCTCAGATTTCAGAGTGCTCCTTAGGTACTTCTATTTGAAAACAGTTAGCCTTCTACTTCTGTTTTCATTTTATTATTCTAAGCAGACAAAGAAGATTTTATCAAAATATGTTAAGAGCTGGCAGAGGCAGTCACACTTGCAGCAGAACTAATTTGCCACAGTTGGCTTTAGATGCATTTTTGTTTTAAAAAGATGTTTTTGATCCTCCTCCTACTGATCTGTGAGCTTTGCTTTATGAACAGAAGTTATTTCTGCCCTCACCTTGCCAAAAAGAACATGAGCACTTCTAGTTCTTCTGTTTTAAAGTGCCTACCCTACCTGTTCACCTTCAGCCATCCCCTTCCTGCTCACTTTTAGTCACATAATCCTGGCTCCCCCCAGCTTTGCAGTCAGGCCCTTATAAGCAGCTTATACTATTATGCATATCCCTGGAAAAGGGAGTAGCCTTGTGCTGCAAAGGGATGCCCGACTGTCAGGTCAGCAGAAGCCTGGGAGTGAGATGGGAACATCCTGTGCTAGCAGAGAAAGAGCCAGGTTTCAGTTCAGCCAGGCAAGAAGACGTAGACCGCAAGAAGCGATGCTGACAGTGAGGTTTCTCTACCTCCCCATGAAGTGGCTCCCGCAGGGGCTGCTGGAGCCGCCTGCCCAGTAGCAGCAAAATCTGGCTGAAGATCCAGAAGATCACTGGATGGTTTGGAAGAGCTGCCAAGGAAAGGAAAAGAGATATTAAATATTGGAGGAATTCATCTATTTTAATCAAGTTTAGAAAAAAAAAAAAAAAAGAAAAATAATGAATTGTAGAAATTACCCTTAGTTCAGATGACTGATGAAACCATTGAGAGAGAGAGATTTTTTTCAGGCCTTAGGATTAGAGCAGCGCCCGTAAACACTTCTACTGCAGTAAGTGCCAAGAATACATTACATCCCAGGACAAGACCTTAACTTACTTCCATTACTTGACAATGACATTGCAACAGATCTATGAGACTTTTACAGTTCTGAAAAAAGCAAACAAAAATCCCCCAAACAAAAAAACAAAATCCCAGGTGGTCCCTAAGAACAGCTCAAAAAACTGCTTCTCCCTTCTACTTCAATATTTCATTGTGCCATGCCAGAAAGCAAGAAACCCACATTTTGAGGCAATAAATAGGCATCAGGTAGAAGAGAGTTGGTAAAACTTCTATAGCTTAAGCCAGCCAGATGTTTGCCTAGGAAACAAGATCTTGTTCATTTTTAGAACATGTAAATAAATAACAGAGGCTCTTTCTTTGGTGAAGTACTTCACCTGACATTTAACTGAAGTTAGTCACATCTCTAGACTTTTGGTTCAAGCTTAGAGCTTTACAAGTCTAGAGTTCTTTCACTTCTACTCATTACAAGGAGCAACAGCAGTTTGTTCTGGTTTTGACTTGAAAGCAAGGTTCAGATTTCCTCATTGGTCAAATGTTTATTTTTTTTATTTTAACCTCCAGAAGTTAATTATTTTTGTGCTTCATTAAGTGATTTGAACAGCAATAAAAAGTAATCTTAATTCAGCAGTTTTAGAAACAGAATACTGAAGAGCAGCACAGACTACTTTGCATTTGCACATTACTTCAGTCTGTTCACTTACAAGTTCATGTTGGGAATGGTACAACATCATTTTGGTTAGAGCTTTTTTGTGATCAATACTAGTAGAATAAAATAGCCCATTCAATACTCAGGTACACTACCTGTAAAATAAGCAAAATCTTGCAGGCAAGCCTCCTGTTAAAAGTATGACTTTGGCATCAAGCTCAATAACTTTAATATGTTTTTTAACTTACCTGACTGGAGCAGCTGTAGATGAAGTTGCAAAAAGATCAACTGGAGGAGATGTATCAATAGTTTTTGCTGGAGTAGTACTAGGAGATGTAACAGTTGTGGCTGGAGAAGACTGGTGAAATATTTTAAATATACATTTAATATATTTCTCCACAAACAATTCATGTATAGATTCACATACTTTAAAAACCTGATTTTGACATTAGGTCGAATTATTGTGAGTTGTTCCCCTCTCTGAAAGAATTTAAGGAAGACTGGGCTAGGTTTTCAGAGGGTAGTGGAGTTTAGAAAGTCCAAGGTGACTCAACCTAGCAATGCCTGGCTCAAGAGGAAATGCCTATTGCAGACGCTCTGAACGCATGCGGCCAGCCTCATATGAGCTTTCATCCCTTGGGTTCAAGACTTGCCCAACATCCAGGCAACCAACTCAGAGACTTGTGATTTGGAGTTGCCTTACTTGCCTTTTAAAATCCCTATTAGGGCAACTAACAGTTCCTATGTGTCAAAGGATTCTCAGCAAGTTCCAAGAAAATAGTTTGCTCCCCAGCAAACTCCCTCCTCTCAGTTTTAAGATCATCCTGGAGATGGGAGGAATGAAGTATTTTTGTGGGTTTGTCTCTACATCTGACAGACCCCTCATTTTGTCCGCAGAATGAAATATCTGTTAGTCCACAACAGCACCTTAGTACTCTCATCACAGAAATAGTGGGAGAAGATAAATGGTTAGAAACCAAGTTGAAAATGTGTATGTAAAACTACAGGCTGAAGAGAGGTTAAGATCGATCACCAGTCCTAACTGTTAAGTCCTTGGCAAGATATAAGAGACAGCTCAGCCCATGATTTTGCTTCATTAGTGCCTCCAATTCTAGATAAGGATATCTTAACTATAGCAAGGACAGACACTCAGGAGAGTATACTGCAACTCTTCGGTGCACTTGAAGACTCAAATTACCTTGAAGAGTGCCAGTTTAATTCTAAAAGATACTACAGGCTTTGTTACAGCATCTCACACACTAGAGATACTTTTCCTAACGAGTGAAACCAAGTCCTATCTTTAGTACTGTTCACTGTTCTGACCACTTCCAAGACAGAAAAAGAATGGTAAATTTGAAGGAACTTTCTTCTGAGTACTGCTACTGCCACGCTACCGTCACAGCTCTAGCAGGAGATGGATATAAGATTTCCGATTCTCCTCAAACCTTTACTGAGGTTTGAGACTAGATTGTCCTAAATCCTTCATATAAACTGAGGAAGAAGTGGTTCCTTAAAGTTGTAAGAACACTTTCTGAATCATCATGTAGCTCTCACCAACTCCTACAGTATTGGACAAGAGTTTTTAATTTGCTACTTTTTGGGGTTTTGTTTTTGTTTTAAAAAGGCTTTTTGAAAAAAAAAAAAAAAAAAAGAGCTTTCATTAGAATCAACCATTGAACTGTCTCCCTCAGATTCAGAGGTTTTCATTCAGTTTCTCCTGCACAACACCCATTATTAGACAGAACTATGGCACCTGGCAATGCTTCAGGGATACCAGGAACTATTATTACTAACACTATAAAGCTCATTAGTTTATCTGACAGTCAAAGATGTTTTCACTGATAACTCTTGCTTTAGATTAAAGTGAGTAGTCTCACTAATAAAGGTCAGTTCTGAAACTAGGTATATCGAATGAAAGTTTTCTTCCTGGCTTTTCATATGAATGTCGTTTTAAAAGAGTCAAACCTTCCTCCTAAAAAGCTGAAAATATAGTGAAGAATTTGGTGGAGAAACAGTATGTTTCTTACTGACATGAGGATTGCGTGCGGGGGGGGAAGAAGTTGAGATAAAGATACATGTATGTTTGATGCTTTCACAAGCATGACCATCAAATCCTGGCAAAGTTGCTTAGCATCCTGCACGGATATAAGCACTATAACCCTTCAGATCAGTGAAGCATTTTTATGGGGCCATTATTTACAATGCCATTAAAAAAAAGTGCAATTTTGTAAATCAGGTAGGGCCTAGGTGGTGAAGTCTAAAAAGCAGATTAAGAGATGGCAATTTAACTCTTTATGCCCTTAAGATGTTCTAAAGCATATGATCTGAACAGGAATTAATTAGTACAGCAATTAGCACCATTTACCTTGCTCAGAGGAGAAGGAGCCCCAGATCTAGGAAAAAAAAAAAGGGGTGGGGGGGGAGGGGTTTCAGATAACACTTTTGGAAACTATTTCTGGTCATCAAAACTCAAGCAAAAAGACTAAAAGCTAAGCATAACAGCTTTCTGAACATCTCTACAATCATGTGCCCTCACCATTTCTCAAACTTTCATGTGTGCTTTGCACAAGGAATGCAAATTGTTATTTCAAAGCTTAAAGGAATCTTTTAAGCTAATTGGTATCACAGGATTATTCTGCCTTTTAAATAAGCTCTACTAGATGAAGGAAAGGCAGAGATGCATGCAAGTGTCTTGTGCTGGTGCCTACAGGAGCCAGTAGGCAAGAGATATTGGGGCAAGACACCATCATATTATAAAATCATGCAACAATAGCAAAGTAAGACCAATATGGAAGTAGTTATCTAACATAAGTCTCCTGAGGATGTTGCAGCAAATTTTCAAAGTCTACTGTTCTTTTACAAAAAGTGAGTTACTTTAAAATAGTGATATTTATAAGTATGGAAACAGTCTGTCGGAAAGTCCAAGCTGAAAGTTCTCTGACATGCAAGAAAAATCACACTAACCAACAGAGCCTTAACTGTAAGTTAAAACATACATCAATGCATTTGTTTCATTATTATGAAGTATGAAAATACTGGTACATATTTTTAGATCTGCTTTGATCTAAGAGATGAAAGGAGGAGTTGAAGTTAAAACTGCACCAGTATTGAACTAGCATCCATCCTATAGGTTACTCGAATTAGATAAGTCTTAAGAGCTGTAGAACTGATTAGAAGATCTGGAGCTAAGACAGAAATTACTAAATATAACTTAATGACTATATACAAAAGCAAACAACAGTTTAGCTACAATTAAAGAAGATATATAGTTCAAATTGTTCAAGCCATCTTAAAAGAAAACATAACCATGTCTGCATGCAAGTGATATGTAAATATACGTACTTACCCTTCACTAAATTGAAAGGAAAGCAACAGTAAAAGAGAAAACACAGGTTTAGCTTAATCCCTCCTAGACTTAGCCATGACAAGTATCTAGTAAGAAGATGCAAAGCCATAAGAAAACAAATCAATTTTGATGATAAAAACCTTAGCAGCAGGGAAAAACAGCTCATTCTAGGAGTTTTCCACCATTAATTTTACTTTATTTTGGAAAATGTCTAGGTGTTTGGTGTGTCATTTCTCCCTACCTGCCTAGTAAGAAAAAAAAGTTGCCATTAAGACAACTTAGTAAGGGAAAGGAAAAGTCTAGTCTTACCACAGCTTATTTTCCAGTTAAGTGAAAAAAGGAGGTTGGGGGAGGCAAACCTAAAACATCAGGTAGTCTCACATTGTTACTAATGTGCCTTGATACATGGTACAACATATATACCTACTTGTTGCCAGGTTTTTTTCCTTCCAGTGAGTTTAGATGTTGCTCAAGGGTCTCCATAAGACTGCTAGGAGCCTTGAAAGCAAAGAGAAAGATACACTTCTAAACATATTGCATTGACCTAATGATACCAGCACCAACTTCCCTGCAGTCCGCCATGTGCATGCTCATGTTATTTTATTTACACCCCTGTGAGTATAGTGGATTTCCATGCTGCAAGTATTCAGGCAAAGACAGCTTTTGAAAGACTGTGTCAAAATTTGTAGAGAGAAAACATTTACCTCTACTAAACATCACCTAAAGCCTAAATCCAGGATGTGTTGCTCATCATGCTTTGAATCAGGGTTAAACATTGACAACAGCACAGGCATCCACAGGGTTAATTTTAAGAGTAATAGGTTCAAGGTCATCCTTTCAGTTTTGCTTTTAGTCAGACCTCCAACATCTCTTTCATGACCAGAGGGTTAGATAATATTTGCAATCTAAACAAAACAAACTAAAATTTCTTTCCAACACCCCCAAAAGCAGCTACCTTTGGTTCAAGACTCCCAACATCACAAAACCTTATAGCTGTTTCTTCTCAAAGTGCTGGTCAGGCACTGGTTACTAAGCCCAGCAGCTAACTGAAAATTCAGGGAGATTACTATTTTAGATGGCTACAAAAACTAAGCTTTTTCAATCCTCCCTGATCTTAGGTTATTTTAAGCAGCCTTTTTGTGGCTAGGCAATACCCCCAGGCATGCACTTGCTGTTACAATGGTAGATAGGAAAAGTAGTCATAAATGCAAATGACAGTGTGCTTAGCTACTCCAGTATAAAAATAGAGTCCAGATAAGTAGACTCCTAAAAGATCAACAAGCAAGGAGGAAACCTTTGAGAGATACAGTAGCATATAATAGTCAAGTATTTCATCATGGTTACCGGTTCATCAATGGTACAGTCTTTAAACAGGGAATTCTCTTTATCAGTTTCTTTCAGATCAACCACAATTCCTGTCAGCAATACCTATGGTGTTTTTCATAAATAATGCATTTAATTTCAGGATATATATATGCATCAAAAAAGTCAGCTTGCGATGCTTGAAAACAGACCATCCACTGCTCTTATGTGCAGTATGCTGAAAACCAGCTGGCTGGCTAAATCAGGTGCTTCAGGATGCTTAGTACTTGCTAGTATCACTGCACAGCTAGTGTTTGTACATTAATTCTGCCATTAGAACTGAGCAGTAAGGTAACTTAACACAGCAGAAATTTAAAATACTCAAAAAATCCTTAAGTGTCAGCTTGAGTTTAAGTATGTCCCACATGCCTACACAGTGCAGAAACATCTTAACCATTGTTGCTTTTATAGGCATACGTATTCATTTTCAACTAATTTCAGCAAAAGAAAGAATTCAGTTAAACACAAGTGACTTAGTTAAAAGAACTCTCCAGCAGCAAGAAAAAGTTGACTAAAGGCTCTCATTTGCTAAACAAAAAAAACCCATTCAAACTTCTGTTATTCAAAAAGGCTATAGCATAAGATACAAGTTGTGCTGACTTACACATGTAAGCAGAACGTTATTTTCTTAAAAAAAAAAAAAAAACAAAAAAACAACCCAGAAAACCCCAACAATACCCCCCATTACTTCCTGTTACCAGTTATGTCTACACACTTTAAATAGCTTTCCAATTATTATTCACAGGTTTCTTAAAAGCCAACAAGGTAATATGAAACTCATTATCAAACAGAATTCAAAGAGGAAGCTTCAGAAAATTTCTACCTAAATGCAACTATTTAGAAATTAAATATTGTCTGATATCCAATTTGCAACACTGGACATTGCTTAATTTCTTCTAGATACTGCTTCAACATTAGACTATCAGTCAGCATTGTAATGGAACCTGAGATATGGCTTCCCCACTAGCTACCTGGGGCAAAACTGCCATATTTTAAGAATTGCTAATAAATAAAATAAGCCAAGCTCTTTAGCTGCCAAGATGTCTCCTCAGCCTCCAAAACCTTGCAGCCAAACTAGAAAGTCCAAAGATGACAGCTACCAACTTGTATTTCAGTACTGTGACCACTTGTTTGGATTTACAGAGTGGACTTACACATGAAGTGTCAGCACAACCAATTTCTGGAATATTACCGACTATTGCCATGGCTTGCCTTAGGAATTTAGGTATACCATTGATACTATATACAATTATATATTACTTATTAGCTGAAATTCAGTTTTATTATTCACCATTTATTTATTTCTCACTGCAACACACTGCCCAGCTCTTATACACAACCTACAGCACACTGCAGATTAGCCTTCACAAGTGAGTCCCAAGCAGCTTTTGGGAGAATACAGCTATGAGGGACTACTTGAGAAGACCACTGAAATGGTCAGGAAGTTGGTCTAGATGATCTTTGTAGAACTCTTCCTTCCAAAGGAACTTTTCTATTATATTTTAAAGTGTTGGTTCATGAGGTGAAAGGGACCCTCCCTTAGCAGTAACTAAGGTGCCACTGAGCAGACACAGCACTGACCGACGGTGCAGAACAGGGATTGTGCAGTCCCAGCAGGGAGCCTTTCCAGCAGCCTAACACAACATAAGCAGAAGCAGATAAAAGTGCTACAGGAATTTATAAATCATATTTCATTAGCAGAGCTTAGGTTGAGTTCTTCTGGTTCAAGGACATGGTTCATGACTGACTGGACCTGGTTAAAACAGAGCTTCTAAGGTACAGTTAGGTGAACATGCTACTTCAGCTCTTTCAAACTGTATTTGGTATTCCACAGGCTGCTAAAAGTCTAAGCTTTCCTCTGCTGAAAGAGTGGCCAGACTTCCTAGCCCTGAAACTGTAGCATCTGAAACCCATAAAGATTAAAACTCTCCACCTTCATATCATGTTTCACTTTCAGAATTTTTAGCTGTCTTTTTAACCAAGAGAACCACTATCCTGATGCCTATTTAGACCCGGCTTTAAAAAGGCTTTCAAAAACTACACATCCATAGGTTATGAATACTTAGGATTTACAACTGTTAAGTAGTTTGGGCTGCTCTTCTGTTCAGATTTTACTGGCATTAAAACTGCCACAAATGAACTCTTCAGCATGGATCTCTTCTTCCAAGTAAATACCCTTCTCACATTAAACTCAAAGCCAGGCACCCAGGCCAATTTGCAAGTGATACTGAAAATGGACCAGCACAACAGAATTTAAGCAGCTACAGCATAGGTGAATTTTGATGTTAAAAGTTTTGATGCATATTGACAAACATTAAAAGTTTTGATGCATACTGACAGAGAAGTTCAGCAAAAAAAATCACAACTACTGCATTTAAACTTCAAAGTACATGGACCAAGACAGTAGTGCTAGTTCTGCTCTCAGTTTCATCTCTGGACCAAGACTGTGTCAGGGAGAAATTCTGAAGCAAGTCACACGAAAATCTCTACACAGTCTGTCACCAAAAATGAACCTGAGCTAAAAGCTGCTAAAATCTGTCCTTCAGCAAGGAAAGAGCAAAACAGTCTACTCTTCAACTATAGGTCAGAAGGATCTGTGAAAGATGTTATTTTAGTTGTATCAGTCTTCAAAAATAGCTTTGGTCAGTTCTTATTTGGGAGGGCTTTAAAATATTAGGTGGTATGACTTCCTACCAACATTTACATTCTTGGTGTGCTTCCTAATTACAGAACTTTTAGTTATCACACAGATTCAAAAAAGACTACAAGAGAAGCTTACCTGTGTAAGATCAGGGATATCACCTTTGTCAATTCCAACTTGCTGTGGATATAAGAGGTAAAAAGTTAAGTGTGTTACTCCACTGCAGCAGGCACTAATTTTGACTAGAACCATGGTACGCTCTTCAACCTATAATGCACTTAATCTTTAGAAAAAGACTACAAAGTTAGCAAGTGCAAATGCCCCACTTTGCAGTAGTCTTTTTTTTTTTTTTTTTTTAAACCAATTAAATATCAATTTTTTTAAAAGGTGGGGCAGGGGGAAGTTCAGTTCCACCCAGGTAAAGTTTATACTGTGCAAGTCAGGCAGGGCTTTCTGGTCGTAAACTGTTGTCTCAGAGGACAGCATTAGTGAACTGCTGAACACATACAATCCAGATACCTGACTATCCTAATGAAGATCTCTGAAATTCAGCCAGTGAGCAAATCCTAGAAGACATCACTTAAAAAAATGCTAAAGCTCAAGTCACTTTGTTGTTCTGCCCTTCTCTCCTAGCATTTCAAATACAGCAAGATGAGGTCTAAGTCTGCAATCTTCTGTTAGTTGTCCTATTGCTTCACTGTGGCTCTTCAAAGTGCCTGACTGTTCAGCTTTTACAGAGGACCAAGCTCCACTGCACCTAGTAATCCTGAAGTACAGCCACTATAATCCCTGTCCTGCAAAGCTGACCTACTATAGGTGTCTGAAGTACTTCACTCCCTCAAGTTCAACATTCATATCAGACATCACATGCCATTCAGGAGTCTAGTATGCTCCTCCATAAATCATTAAGTAAATTAGCAAAGAAAAACTTTATATTCAGCTCATTACTGCTGTCCATTATAATGAAGCATGAAACATGGAAAATGTGCATCTTGTGCCAAGGAGCCAACTACCACAAATGAAAGCCCATCAAAAGAGTTAATTAACCATGTAATATTTGTATTATCCACATAAGAGGATGATAACAAGGATCAAAACCAGGAAAATCTCCCATTCCAGTTCACTTGTAGTTGGCTGCAAAGACTTAAAAAGCAGACTTACAAAATCACGGTGCTTTTATTCCTAACTTCTAATCCTCTAATGTTCAACGCTGTTCTGGAAGTATGCATTTATTACAGCATTTCCAAGAAATATTGATATGATTGAAGTCACATCATCTGTTATGTTACCAGGAAAGTTGAGGTTGGCTGCACAGTAGAAACATGTGGTTGTCCTAAGCAGGGCTTAACTACTTCAAGAAGAGCTGAATAAGCAGATTCAGAAATGTCTATCCTGCCTCACATTTATACACAGTGAGTCAGATGCTTAACAAGTGCAATTAATATTTTATATCAGTGCTAAAAAATTCACAAAATACTAAAGTGCCAGACTCCAGAAGACTGGAAGTCACTTACCTCTGCAACTTTAAGAAACTCTGATACTCTGGTCATTCGAGTAAGAAATCGTTTGTAGATTTCAAGAGCATCTTTACATTGTCCCTTTTTCATTTCAAAAAACTTCTCTAGAGAAATAATTTGGCAAATTTCAGTTAAGATATCTCACATTAGGTCTGCATTCATCAGCAACTCTAGTTTTCAGGAAAATCATGTTTCAAGAATATTGCACTCCATTAACATTTTTCTACTTGGACACTAATCCAGTGGCATTCCTAGCCCTTAGTAGAATTTAGAAGTTGGACTTGCTGAGCTGATAAAGAATTATAGAGACCAGAAATTGCACCCCAACTAGGCATAGCATTGTGTGTGATGTAAACCAGGTTTTTAAAGAGAAAAAGTAGGTGAACTAGCTACCAAACTTAAAATTCAAAGTAATTATGGATACTTAAACATACATATTAATATACATCCTTTCCCAAGTTGTCTTCACTCCGAAGAACAGAACAGTACTTTTTCCACTTGAGTAGCTCTCTAAAGATGGTTTGCGTCCATTATCAAGCACAACTACCACGTATTTCAACTTGAACTTCTGCTTTAAGTAGCAGTAGTGAAATCTCAACCCAATTGTTACACAAACACATTTGTATCTATCTGATCCATAAGCTTCCCATGCCTATAGTTTCAGTCAGAACGCCTGGGACCTACTTCTATGAAACCACCAGAAAGCAACGCGGATACAAAAAAACTGTCCGAGTTTTACAGCTCAGGTACATCTTTTAGCCTGCTCAGTCTCTGTAACCTCTCTGTTTCTTCCTGTTCTAGTTGCAGACAGAGCTTTAGGTCAGTCATGCTGACCAAGCAATCTCAGTTTTTAGCTGTCTTTATAGATCACCTGAGGTGCTCACAGGTTTTAATAGTTGAAGCCTGTTTTCTACAGGGTCAGTTATGTTTCCTGTGGTTTACAACTCCTGGTTTTAGACTTCATAACAAAGCTGGTGATCCCGTCAAGCTGTCTGAGCTTCAGAATGTGCTCACAGCCTGCTATAGACTTTGTAGGCTGATGGTAGGTAGGGTTTTGGAGGGGATCCAGCTTTGGCAGTCACACTTTCAGACAGATCAGGAATGTTATTCAGGAATATATTACTTCATATAAGGCTACCACATAGCACGTATAACAGAAGAATGTGAGTATCTTAAAAATGCAATGAAAGAGCAAAGTTGCTTTACTAACCTTGCAGGACATACTATGCAAGCTTACACAGCACTATACATTTCTTTAAGCACAGAGATGCTCAGTGTCTTTAATTAGACATCTGCACAATTTTAAGGGCATATGACAATCCAGCCTCAGATGAACACTAATGTAAGAGGTTATGGCTTAAAGTTTTCTCTCACTTCAGAATACAACAGTCAAGGAAAAAAAAAATGTAGTTTTAATGAAACATAAGTAATAAAAACATTAAGAACATCAAACTCGTTTTTCACTCGCTCACGGTACATGAGATATAGACACCAGGTTACTTACCTAGTAAGTTAATAACCCCATCATTGTAGCAAGCAAAAAGTTTGATAAGATCTTTAAATAGAAGCATGAATGCAGCATTTATGACACCATTTGTCAATTCATTTGGATGAACCTACAAATAAAATACCAGTTATTTACAACAGATCTATAGAACACAATCAGAAGTTTTAGCTTGCATCAGGTATCTGATGCTGTTACAGACAGAATCAAGCACTGAATACAAGCTTTCACACAAAGAAATGAAACAAAGGTTTCGGTTAGCAGATTAAGGATTGCTTTCTTCACCACTCCAAAATAATCCACTACAGCAGGGGAGCACCCTCATCAACAATAAATATCTTAGTCTTGACTCCTTCACCTATCACAAAGAGAAGGCAGATAGAGATGCTATTAACAAAGCTTTAATAAAACTGGACAAAAGATGTCTGTTCACAGCAGAGCTTAACAAAACCTCAGTAATCTACCAGATAATACAGTTGGGTTAATGATGTCAAGACACTTCCAGTTCTCACATTAACATGGGCAGAAAATAAGTGCTCATTTATTAAAAGACCTTTCTTTTATTAAAAATATCTCCTCTTCTGAGACCACTATCACAATTCCTTTGCCATTTAAGGAACAAAAAACACATTAGCGAGACATGTACTTTTAAAGCTTTCCTCTGAAAGCTGTAGTGGGCCAGGCCTTCCGCCTGGAAGTGTGTCCTTCTGCCCAACAAGAACAGAAGAACTTCAAGGCTAATCCCTTCAAAGACCTCTTTGCAACATTACACTGTACCTCCTACAACAATCAACTCCTGTTTTCATCCTTAAGGCAGATAAACAATCCCATCAACATTCATAACATTATATATATATATATATATTGTAGACACCTATGAACAACCTTGATTAAAGTTTAGCCAATTTGGTTCACAGCTGAAAACTGGATGAAGATTTTGAGGAAGCCAAACAATGTACATGTGGTAGTCTAATGACTTTTTCCCTCCCCCCCCAAAACAAGTTGATTGCCAGGGGACAGAAAAAAGATTCTTCAGTCTCCTTGTTTTGTCCATTTCTTCTCCTCACTCATGTGAAAGATGAAACTCCAAGCTCTGAGTCAGCATTCCCCAATGCCCTTCATTTCCCATGCTGATCCTCTACACTACAACAACAAAAAAAGTGCAACCTGCACATTTCATACACAGACATACATCCTTCACCACACTACTTCAGTGGGACACTGGAAAGGAGATTTTTTTAGCCCATGTGATAGGATGATCAGTAAAGCATTATCTACAAGGTGAAACGCATCCATTACAACACAGCATTTATAAGTCACTGCCCAGTGTTTCTGCTGAGTCAGCTTCAATACATACATCGAATTCAAGTAGTGCATCAATTTGTTCCTGTAATATTGGCATACTCTTCAGCAGCTTTTCAGGAGCCATTGTTCTCATTACACCATCAGCCCTGCAAGATGAAACACATATTAGAAGCCATGGCACTTCCCTTCTTCTTTCCCCCAAACTGATTTGTTGTCTAAATTTCAGCTTAAAGCATCTACAAACCATTTCAAAAGTTTAGAGCACTGTTCAGTTCTCCTGCTTCTGACATCACGAGAGCTGGCATGAAAAATACTTCATCAGCCACCCTCCCTGACAGCAGGTGAGGAAAGGTTTTGTGTTAAGAGTGATGAATGCAAGAGATTGATCTCTTTATGGAAGGAAGACACAGAGCTTAAGTAACTTGACAAGAAATACTGTCACAGAAGTATTTCGAGAAATGATAACTTTATGCATGAAGTTTGTTAGGAGTAACTAATAACTCACTGCTGTCGTGTCTGTGGTCACTGAAGACAAAAAAACTCTATAGGCTTCTTGCCCCATCAAATGCCACTATATATATATGCTAATTCAGTGACAATTTCAATCAGGACAATCTTTGCTTATATAGCAAAGTAATAAAGCTTCTTTCCTCAGTATTCCTGGGTACTAATTAATACCATCACTCCTTCATAGCACTTCCACTGACTTTGACCTGCCTTATCAGTCCCGAACCATAACTCCAATGGGATCACGCAGCAGTCATGGATGTGTAGCATTCCTTAATTGCCACCCATAGTTTTATAGCAGTCTCCACGCACACCCATTTTTATCTCTGGATATCACAAACCTGCACAACCACCATTATGTATTGCCCCGTTCTGGCCACTGACAGGTATAGCACCTCCTCTCAGGAAACACATATCACTATTCTTACTTATTTTATGTTGTACTCTGAAGCAGCACCTTCTTTTGAGCATCAGAAATAACATGCATAGAAAGCCTTTCCAGGAACATATAGCAAGACAGGAATAGAAAGATTCCCAGCCACTCAAACTTAAGTTTATTTAACACAAAGTGTTCAAAGGCACTAGGTGACAAAGGGTAAAGATGCTAGCACTACAGCGGCCTGCTGGACCAAAGCCTGCTTGAAATATCAATCCAACTAACTACCACTCTTCATAGCAAAAGCTTCTTAGTGATTCATATTCCAGATAAGTTCAAGAGATAACTACTCTGGTCCCCACTATGGGAACAGCATCCAGCTACACCGTAAAGCTGACGCAGTAGGCCCTGTACCTTCTGGCAGTTTGAGAAGCAGGAGAGGAAAGCCTGGCAGTGGTGCATGCATTAACAGCTCAGAATCCTAAGACACAGAATATACCAGAACTGCCAGAAGGATCCTGTATGCAACTCATGATTAGCAGGAGCATCTTTAGCATACAGTCAATTAAGCTGCACCTCCAGTGGGTGTTAAGCCCCCTGCTGTGTTGTCTGTGTTTCAAGAGAGAATCTAGAGTCATTAAAGCCCCAATTAGAGGAGTCAGAGACAAAAAATGTTCTGATAAATACCAATGCAGTACTCTGAGCTTGGTTAAGAGTAGTTTACAATGTTACTCTGTTCAGTTTATAACTGTTTGCTGTGTTGCCCGCTAAGAACTTCAGGTGTTCACTTCAGTTTTCCTTTGTAATCAGTCTTCTTTCTTAGGGAAAGTGTCTGGAGAGTAATGAAACATCCTAAACATAGTTTCAGAGTGTGTCCTTCTCCAAATCCTAAACACAGTCTTGCTACAACACAATTTATTAAACTCTTAATTATTGAGTCAGATTTAACACCTAGCACTAAAAGCTCCCAGTTCTGCAAGGCACCTTACTTTAGTCTTCAGTGTTTGCCTTGCTACCCACAGTCTTTTCTCCTCCATCTGCAATTTTTAACCAATTACAAATACTTAAGAAATCCAACCATTTTGGTGTTTCATTGTGGCTAAACAAAGAACATAAGAATGAAGTTACTGAGACACTAAAAGTAAGCGTAATACCACAAACAAGATTTTCATGGGTCAGGCAACCTTATCATTTTACATATCTAAAATTTGCTTACCCTTTCTTCACTCTTGCAAAGTCAAATGCCATTTGCCTGTAGGAAAATGCTTTTTCATTCAAGTATCTACTATAACGCCTTATAAAGGTGGACATGTCATAACCTGCAAAAAACAGTTACATGTTTTATATTTAATTTTCATGCTTGTTTGGAGGTTCTTTAGTAAATGATAATATAGAGTCAACATGCCCTAAGGTTATGTGATCACTGCTGCACTAAACAACTCCACATACAGAACAGGTATCACAAGATGTCTTCAAGCTTCTGAAGAAAAAGCAATGGTGCTGCACCAAAGCAATCTACTGCTGTCCTCTGCTTCCAACAGATTCATCCAATGCACCAGTGGCATGGCTCCTGGGGAAAACTGCTAGTGGCTCCTACACAGTTATGTGGTAACATTACATGACAGTGAAACTAGTTACCCCTCTATTAAGAGGGAAAAATGTCGAATTAAAATAAACTTTATCATTAACTTGTATGTGACTTCCAGGATAAAGACCAATTTCAACTTGAACACTCCCGCTATTTTACATACGTCAGTCCCTCCAACTTTTACATGGACCTTCAAAATTCCCCTGACTAGGTTCATGAGAATAATGCAGGCATTCACAGAGGTTAGTGCCTTCTTTGAACTATTACACCAGAGATCTTCAAGGCACATGATACTGTACAAGCAGCCTCACACGTCAGTGACCCTCAGGCCTACAAGACTTCTGAACAGTTAGTATTACACCCTGTCCTTCAGGTATTTCTTTCAAGTTTCTTCCTCTAAGCTATGAAGAGGAAGCTTTCTTCTGCTCAGAAATGTGTGCAGAAGGCAACTCATCTTTCTCTTCAGTACAAGTCCCTTTTTGTTACCTTCATTAAAATCAACACCCCCTGACTCAGTCACTGACTATATTTTTCCTTAATATCACTCAACATTAAGCATCTCTGCCAACTCGGGCTTAACACTACCAACTCTGATGCCTCATTACCTATGACACACTGTTGTATTATCTATGAAAGGGCACTTTAAGTCTAAAGAGAGCAGCAAAGAACACAAAAGTGTGCATTTAACAGAGTTCATTTTTGCCAAATACCAATATCTTTGAACTCACATAGCACATTTTTCTTAGACAAACACAGTTTTAATATTTGTTTGGCTTTGTTCCTGCCCTGTGTTACCATTTCTAGAAGATCCTCAAGTTTTGGTGTCACATGTCTCCAATCAGAGACAGAGTAACACACCTCTGCTTCGATCTTGTCCATTATTGTAGCATTTATTCCTGCATTCTGCATACAGTCTACAGATATTCTGACAGCTGCCAAATTATAAATTTCCTCTTTTCTCTACTAGAGCTACCATGAAACAAGCTTTTTCTCTGTTAAGTGCAGCAACGGGAAGATTCACTAATAATTCCAGAGCCAAAGTAGATAAGCAGATATTGAAAGTTTTAGGGAAAACTCTAGTTTTTGCCTAGAACTTTTAAATTTACTACTCAAATCAAAACCAGCTAGCTCATTGATTCCTTTCTCCCTGCCTCCCCAAATTAAACATTTGTATAGACAATTCCCAAAAGTGCAGTGTCCCCAGGCAACCAACTTACCATTTAAGACTAAGTAAAAACCAAAAAACTAAATGGAAAGTTATCCATTACATCCATAGCAGTTAAGGAAATAGTTGACCCAGTCCTGATTTCAAACAGCACTTTCTAAGGGAGTTGTACAGTTTCACCCCTTGGGTAAGAAATTTGCAGGAACTAAGAAACATTGTTCCAAAGTTGTCCAGCAGTTGACTTGAGCTCCTGTATTAAGTACTTATAAAAAGGCTTCAGTAGCACATTTTTATATTATTTGCATCTTATGAATCAAGAAGCAAATTAACAATAGTATCTTATTTAGAATCTTGTTAAGGTTATAGACATGAGTAGGCTTACCATGAGATCCACTTTTGTCCAGAAAATTGCTGAGATTGAACAATGTGTTTCTAGATGCCAGGTACTGAATAAATCTCTGCAACACAAAGTTATTTTCTTATCACAGATTGTATCTGAATACTTGGTACCTCCTAGCAGGAAGATTACCAGTCTAGCTCCAGCATGCACACATCAAAACCCAGATTTTTGCTTAGCCTGCAATATTTTCCTCAAAACTTTTTTCATCCATTCAGATGAATTATGTTTAGCCTGAATCTCTACTAAATATCCTACTATACACATAAAAATAGATTCTGTACAAATACAAACCAGATTGTGGAAGGAGTAGTAAAAAATGGTTAATTCTCAAAGAGAATTGAGGAAGCACAAGATTTATCTGCTTGCAAATCAGAATATCCAGGCTAGTCCCAGACTTTTAAATCCAGCAGCCCTCAGTTTCAGCCAAGCCAAGGGCCTGTTTTAATAACAAGCAGGCCCCACATCAAGGACAGGGACTAACAGACTGAAACAGTTACAGAAAGCAGATCAGATTATTGTCCAAAACTTGGAACAGAAAAATAGATCAGTAGTAAAAATTTACACTGTGACACTGGAAAATTTCATTGCATAAAAACACTTTCTATACAGCCAGGGAGGAATTGTTTCACAGTCCTACTAAAGCTCTTTAAGTATGCTTGTTGTTTTTACACAGACAAACCAGTCTATACAGGTCAATAAAAAGCACAGGCAAGGAAAACGCAATCCAAAAGGCTATCAAGTTGAATTTACAGCTCTAGGAAGATTTTAACTCTCATGCACAGAGAGTGTAGCTATTTGGATGGTAGTACACATGTGCCAGACCATCAACTTTGACTCTAGTCGAAAAGTCCCCAGTAGTCTTTAATCCTGCATAGCTCCGTTTTCACATAGCACACAAATTGTCAACATCCTCGAACAGGCTGCTTCTTGCTCTTATGCCATGGAAGAGACAGATAATCAGCATGCCCCTAACTATGTTGTTAAAGGTAAGTTTGCTCTCATCAGGAATCATTCTTGCCCTTTGTTCTCAGGTCCTTACTGGTTCAGAAGAGATGCCATTGCACTATTAACTTTTTTTGTTTGGAGTCTGCTCAGTGTCATTGAGGTCTCAAGAGAAAGCTGATTACACTTACCTCATTGCCATGAACCATTAGATGATGTGTGGTAACTAAGGCTTTGAATACAACCACCCAGCTACTATTTGTTGCTCGCTCAAAAAGCGTGTCAGCCATCTGAGGAATATTGACGTTTGTTTCATTAGTTGCTTGGATCAAGTCTGTAAGAGAAATAAAAGGAAGGTGTTAGGTGCTACGGTTATGAAAATGCTTGCAGCATGGCCAAACTCTCAGCCCATCAGGCTGCAGGCCATGGTTGTGACAAACAGCAAGTTCAGTGATTACCTTCTACATTTAACAAAACAAAACCCAAAAAGCTGAAATTATATTAGTACATGCTGACAGTAACACTGGTCTGACTCTTTCATTCAACAGTACTAGCTTTCCAACAATTCTGTCCTGAGCCATGCCCTAATCTTTCTCCATCTTCATCCCACATGAAGTTAGGGTGCACAACATCACATGATTTTACTGCTTGCAGGTTTTCAAGTTAATTGTGGCAATTCACTACCTCTGGGTTAGATGAGTAAGTATGATTTAATTCTTCTCCTACAAGTAATATGTCAAGCACACTGAACCCAGTCACATCAGCAAAAAGAGGTATCGCCAGAAAGAGATACTCTATTCATCTCAGAGGTTAGAGTTTCATCAGCATGCTACAGCACACCTCATAGAGTCTCTACAGACATAGACAGCAGAAGGGTGCATTCAGGCATGCATTAAAGCCTCTTCAACAGAAGAAAAGAGGCAAGGATAGACATTAGTTTATACTGAAGAAAAATAGTCTTCTGCAAGCAACTGCACCTTACATAGAAGAAATAAGACATTAGACTGTCTAAGGGAACAAAAATACAACACAGCTTTGTGTCCTGTACATTAGGAGGGTGTAGACTTGCATGGGAGAGTACCTGAAATTAAGATAAGTACTTCAATCATAAACAGTAGGGCAGCTAGCTTTCCACGAGCATCACTACCTCATATCTACTGACAGGATCTTTGTTTTACTACATTACCTACAAACTACAAACTCCTGATAGGCAGCCAGCAATGACCTTCTACAAGCTATTATCTAGTTTTTGAGACACAGTTGGAAACTCCATACTGCAACTGCACGACCAAAACTCATGCGATGTCAGACACAGCCCTGCCAAGACTTCAGGAGAAGACTTCATGCAACACAAAGAGCATAGAATACAGACCTAATTGTAGGGCTGAGGTTTAAAGTTTGAAGATCTAAACAGAAAAAGTTAAAAATTAAAAAGTTTAACTACAGACCAAGCATTATCTGTGTTACTAATGAAAATACTCATCTTTTACTTTCCCTGAGAGGACAGTAACTATTGTTAATGATTTTCCATGCAACTCTTTTTCCCCTCCCTAGACTAGAAATGTTCATCCAACTATTCAAGTCATTCAGTGATGACAAATATTCTACTCTAGAAGACAGGCTATTCTGTGACTGATCCTTGCACACTTAACTCCGTGTCTCTGCTGTAAACACTCTACAGGAGTTCAGTTTACCTGGGTAGCAGGATCAACACTTTACAGACTTGCTTTCCCTCCCCAACACAACCCCATATAATGGAGGATATTAATGCTGCTAAGAGCAGAAAACCAAAGTTCAGACTGCTGTGAAACTACTGATTCTGCCTCTGCAGGGCAGGAAAGTCCAGAGGACAGGTCTGTCTCAACAGAGCTATGAGTCACATCAGCTATTGAGGACCACGTGGTGCGTTCAGAGACCCACACTGCTGTATCAGAAGCATTCAAAAATCTAGTAATTTGGGTTTTTTTTAAATTAATGGCAAGGTTTTTTGGGGGTTTTTTACTTCTATTAAACAGACTCATATAAGATACAAGAACTCTATAGCTCAGAGTCAGGTGCCCATGAAAACTGCAGTGCTTGTGTTTAAAATTATCTTTTGTATGGGCATAAAAGCTGCAAGTTGTCTTCAAGTTTCAGGTCAGTGAAATTATTTTCTGTAATGAGACAGAACACAAAAATTATGTGATCTGTTTGCCAAGTTTGATTTTAAAATGTTTGTTGTCATGGTGTTTTTTTGTTTGGTCGTGGGTGCTGGGTTTTTTTGCAGAATACCTTTTGAAATATAAAGTTAACTTCTACAATCTCAGTAATACCACCCTTGAAAGAGGCAGTTCTGCAGACAAAGCATTACAGTAGTAATGCCATGCTATTGAACGACAACAGTTCAAGCTCGCAGAGCTCCAACAAGTCTCCTTGACCTTGCTGTACAAACAGGCCAATAATCTTTTATTCTGTACAGATGATGAATGCATTATAGAAGACAGTGGTTTGTAAAAGCCTAGAAGCAAATCACAAGAGGCTTGCTCAGTTGACCCCATTTGGAGGTTTTACTGTAGATGACAGCATTTGTCCTTAGCATAAGGAAATATGCATCAAATTTTCAAGCTTTCAGTTTTAAGTTTCAGTATGTAGCTCACTATGGAAGAGGGGTGCTATAAATTGTGTATTCCATTGCGGGATGTTAGATAATGGAACCTCAGAGGAGTTCACCCACAACAATGCTGGCAACAGAGGCTACAAGGCACTACTATATACTACTGCAACTCTTCTTCTAAAGTCACTCAGTCATTTCTGCCTCCTCTCCTAACTGCTGGAGGGTATGGCATCTCAGCCTGCTGCTCTGAATGTTTTAGGACACAAGTAATTATAGTGTGCTGAGTAGAGAGGTATGATTAAATTTACGCCTACCACTTTCAGTACACAGAAAAGAATTAAACCACGCATAGAGATTTTACTCATCATCTGAGTGATGAGGGAAAAAAAGGAGATGGAGGGTTAATTCTTGCAGAGCTGTTTCACATTAAGTCATGCCACAAAGTTAAGCTTCCTGGGTTTCTTTCCCCTATACCATAGAGTCTCAGCTTAACCAGCAATCATCAGCATCTGGAGCAACTTGGAAGCGTAGCTAGCCTTAATGAACTCCTAGTAGCAGAGTTTGGTGGCTATGCTGAATTTTAAGATAAGACTTGGCAAAACTAATTTGCCCTCAGCGAGGTAGGGAAGATTAGGTAAAAGGAAAAAGAAAATGCATACAAGAAAATCTAGAAACTATATTTTCAAAACATACAAATTCAGATATTTACTGGTGGGACAGAAACTTAGTTTTCAAAAGAGACAAAGAAGTTCAGAGTCTTCCAAGCAAGTCACAGGTAGACTTGTTAATAAAAAATAGATCATATTAAGAAGCACTGGCTGAAGCCGAGTCCATCAGAAGCCATATGAAGCAATATTACAAAGGTGATTCTGTTTTGGGTACACAGCAGTAGTACAAACAAGGATTAAAGGTATCTTCTGATGAAGTTTCTGCTACTGCAGGTATCCATGTCAAGTACTCTGACAGCTAATCCTCAAACCCAAAAACTGAGCTCAAATACAAATTCCAAGCAGAGTAAGAAATCGGGAATTGTACAGCAGTAGCAGCAAGTGCTTTCATTGTGACTTTTGCAGAAATTAAGCAGTTGGAGAATGAAGACCTATATACCCTTCATTTGAATCCATTTGTTTACTGTGAGACTAAATTATAATTGCCAAATCACAGCACATGACTTCTCCTATTTCCTCTCTTCACATTTTGGTAGCTGCTATTTTGAACACTTACTCAGCCTACAGATCATTGTTTGAATTATAATTTGGACGTAAATATACTTTTTCTAGTTAAGTTTTGAGATGCAAAACCAATGCACATAGAAGAAATAAATGGTTCTCAATTCTTTGACACCAAAACTTAAATCTAAACACCAGTCTTTAAACTATTTGAGTAGCCAACTGTTTGACCCAGTCTTAAAACATGTGCAACTTAATTAGGGAAGAGAATCAAAGCTAGAGTATGATTAACATCTTCATTAATAAAAAGACAAACCTGCCAAATTAAGGAAGATCAGTAGAGGGTTCAGTGAGGAAGACTAAAGTAACTGAAGATACCTTAGCTCTTCATGACCTTTTGAAGATACCACTAAAAGATGTGACTAGTTTTGGTGTTTATTAAGCTCATAAGGAAAAAAAAAAATAAAAAAAATAAAAAGAGAATAGCAAGAAAATTTCAGTCTTCAGAATTTCAGACTTCAGTCTCATTAAAAACCACTTCTTGGTTTTGAGATTTTTTTTTTAAATGATAGCAATTATAAAACACTTTAAGTAATCTCTCTTATTCCTTTACCTTTTCAGATTGTATACTGAATCTGGGCAGGTTTTTTTTTCCTGTTTTGTTTTGAGATTTTTTTACTCAATTCTTTAATAAATAGACCTGGGATTCCCCAGTTCAAAGTTAATTATTCACAATTTACATTTCAGTATGCAGACAAACAGCAGCAGAGCACAAGACCTCTCTGTTCAGAGGGATACTGGTGCCAACTTAAGAGCAGCTGTCGTTCCAGGTTGAATTAACATGGGAGCTGCCTCAGTATATGAGCTGCCTCATACATTCAGTTCCTAAACTTTGCTAAATCTCTCTGACCATAATTCCCTTACAGACCTTCCTCACTCTCACGATTATGTTAAACACTACAATAGTCTTCACAAGTTTTTTTTTTCTTGCTTATGAGTATTTAAATAATGCCTTGAACCTATCGAAAAGGAAATGTAGGATTGTTCCAAATCCAGGCTAGTCAAGAACAGAAAAAAGTGTCTTAAGAAGTAAGAGTTTACAAGCCTCAACCAAAAAAGTTAAATGCACAAGTAACAGTACAAGTCCTCCCTTGCAAGACACAGAACTGTATCAGTGTCCAACTGTGCTAACCAATGCAAGAGCTGCACTTACAGGTCCACAGAAGACTGACCACAAAACAGTACTGGAAAGCAGTACTAGTGGTTTCTGTTTCTACAATAATTGCTGATGAGAACATTAGATGATTATAATGTTTTTGGCTTTGACTACCAAGCAATTCCACAAACAAGAGTTGTGAATTTATCTGTGGGGTTAAAGCTTACCATCTACTCTTTTCAACGTCAGCTTGCCCCATCTCCACAAATATGCATCGTAACCTATTTTGTAACAATCTCTCCAAGAAAAACAGCAATTCATGCTGTCTCCTCCTTCCTCCCCAGAAGTCTACCTCAAGAGTTACTACACCTCACCTTGACCCCACCAAGCCTACCCTCTATTAAAGTCCAGCATCT